CCATCCAGTAAACAAAACGCGAAAGTTGCCCACAGTCGCGGGGAGATCAAGATACTATATATGAAAAAATTTTTAAACTGCGGTATGCCATTTATGTATATGGCAATTAAAAAGATACTGCGACACGGCTCACGCCTGAGAATCGCAGTGGGGCAATGATGCCCAGCCCACAAAATCAGCTGAATGGCATCGAAACTGATTGAAATTTATGCCGCAATCCCCAATATACAATTCAGCCAAGCCAAATGACAATGACAACCCAGAGATCTATGGCCCGTCTGGGGATGAGTTGCGATGAGATCAGATCAGTTTGAATAATGACGAAGACACACCCTCGACTCATCAATTCTTCGCCAGCTTTCGGCATAAATAGCCATTTGATTAGGTGTAAGTTTTCGCATGTATCCCACACAGAAAGCTATAATATTATACAACCAAGAGACAAGAAACTGAACTATACTTACTCCATCTTCTACTTTACGTGGACATATTGTTATTGCATATCTTTTTGTACTTTGATGTAAGATCAGATAAAGGAAATTAACAAATTTCTTATTGAATTATTGCAAACTTGAATAATGAAATTTACAATATCAAATCAAACAGAACATAACTAAACTCTTGAATAAACAATTTATTTAATTTAGCTTTTAAAAAAAAAACTAAATCAGAAAATGTTATGAAATGGGTAGAATATCAAAGCCAGTCAATATTAAATAAGTCAACATTTTTGTTTTTTTTTATATTTAAAATATTCAATTTTAGAAATAAAGGATACATTTTTGTATAGCCTATCACAATTTTTTGTGAAAGTATCCAACCATATCGAAAAACATTTTCCACTGCAATGTAGCCCCAATTAATTCAGTCTCTTGTTCAATTTGCTGGCATTGCCGCGACTTGCTTTTGATGCTCGTCACTCTTGGCGATGATTTACATATTGAGTGTACGAGTACGAGTGTACCGGCAAGGCCATTGACAGCTTTTGGGCAATGCCCAGCCCCCGAGCACTCCACCCCCCACGCGCAGCTCACCTACGTGCCAAGGCGGCAATTGCAGTCAGAAATAAGACCAAAAAAAACAAAATGTTTCAAAAAAAAAAAAACTCCACAAATATATAAACAAAACCGAAAACGTTGCGTAAATTTGTTAAGTCGAACATGCTCAAGTTGGACTTTTGAAACTATTTGGCAGGCAGTGTCACCCGCATGAAAAAACATCATTATCGGGGGCTTGATGAGTGGCAGTTGAAAGTGAAAACTATGAAAACTGTGAAGGTCTGTCTGTCCCACGCACTGTGTTTGCTTTTCCAGAAGAAAACAGTCTTCCTACTTCCTTGTGGCAAAGTAAGGCCCAGCCAGGTCTTATGTAAAAACGGCGACCGCAGGAGGCAGGCATGCGTGCAGCACCACCCTTTCAAAACAGACAAATTGCTGCGGTTCATTGTGCAGCAATCGGCAGATGCAGATGCAGATGGCAAGGGGTATCGTTTCAGGTATCTGCCGAGGCAGTTACAAAAGGTACAACTACTACTACTATGACTATGAGTGCGAGTATCTTTTCTTTCAAAGTTTCGCATTGCAATTAAGCGAGCGCTGAGCTTCCGCATCTGCCGCTGATGATGATTATGATGAGCTGGTGGTCATGCATGCCCATCCCCATACCCATAACCATACTCATACCCATAACCATACCTATACCCATCCTAGTCCCCACATCATATTACGTTTTGGCCATTAGATGTTGGGCATGTGCTCGATCATCCCATCCAGCGATTCGCCATCTTTGCCTGCCACTTTTACTTTTCTTATTGTCAACAATACGAAGGAAAGCCGCAGAAATAAAACTTTCCCAACATTACAGATTTGTGTTTTTCTTTTTTTTTTCTCTCTCCAACCTACCAGCTGCAATTGTTGTCGCTTTTATTGTGGAATGGCTGCCGCAGATCATAAATTTTCTTTTAATTTCAGTTTCTGTATGTTCTGCCTTTGTCTGTGATTAATTTAAGTTAATTTACAAGATTTTCCTCCGGTACAGAGGTAAAAGTCTTGAGTAAAAGTTGCTGCCTTCACTTTACCTTCATTTCTTTTCTTTTCCTTATTAAAATTAAGGTTCTTTGCTGTAATTCAATATATTATTGGTAATTGAATACAAGTAATAGTGACAGGTGTTTTTCCTTTTTGACCCAGAAAAAAATATTGATACTTTGATGATCAAGTAAGTAAGAAAGTCAAAAAGATTGAATTGTCTACAAAATTATAAAAAATTATAGTAAAACAAATTAAAAACGTTCTTGTTATTTCGTTGAGTATTTTATTTGTATGTGACTAGTTTGTTTCCTAAGTCTTTTGAATCTAAGAATCAAAGTTTGTTGCCTGGGTCTTTTTAATTAAAACAAGAAAGGAAAGCTAACTTCGGACGGAGCCGAAGTTGATATACCCTTGCAGAATATTCTGTAAATTATATTCTTCAAAATTATTCATATATTCATATATTCTTAATACTCTTAAAAAGTCCTTCCTAACTTCCTAACTTTAAAAACACCAAAGTTATGGCATTTCCAATCGTTCAGTTATATGGCAGCTATAGGATATAGTCGGCCGATCCTTATGAAATTTGGTAGGTCGGATTGATTGGCCAAAAATAAAACCCATAGAAAATCCCAACTTGATAACTTTACAAACACCAAAGTTATGGCATTTCCGATCAATCAATTATATGGCGGCTATAGGATATAGTACCTTATGAAATTCGGTAGGTCGGATTAATTGGCCAAAAATAAAACTCATAGAAAATCCCAACTTCCTAACTTTAAAAACACCAAAGTTATGGCATTTCCGATCGTTCAGTTATATGGCAGCTATATGATATAGTGGCCCGATCCGGCTCGTTCCGACTTATATACTACCTGCAATAGAAAGACAACTTTTGGGAAAGTTTCAAGCAGATAGCTTTAAAACTGAGGGACTAGTTTGCGTAGAAACGGACGGACGGACAGACGGACAGACGGACGGACAGACGGACAGACGGACAGACGGACGGACAGACGGACATGGCTAGATCGACTCTCCTGGTGATGCTGATCAAGAATATATATACTTTATAGGGTCGGAAATGTCTCCTTCACTGCGTTGCAAACTTTTGACTGAAATTATAATACCCTCTGCAAGGGTATAAAAATTTTGCGGTTTGATTGTTTAAATTTAGTCTGCAGTTTTGGTATATTTATTTTGAAAGGCTAGTTGGCTGCTTAGATCCTTTGACTAAAGACATGGCTTGTCGCCCAAGTCTTTTGACCTTAAACATTTTAAGTCACTTGCAATCAACTTATTTCCATATTTTAAAGTCTTTTGCAATCAACTTATATTAATCCGATAGCGATCTCATTTCCCCCAGTGCACTTGCCACGTGCAGCAGCAAGTTTGTTGCCCAAGTCTTTGGTGTGCCACATTTGGGTTCGCTGTGTTTGCTGACCCAAACAAACATCCGTTTCCTGGCAAATGCCCGAGTGACACTCCCCCTGCGCCCGCCCCTTGTCGCATGTCCCACGAAACAATTAACCGGCGGCAGAGAGCACTTGACTCGCTGCTAAAAGCTAAAAACTGGAACCCAAAAGTGGACTGGGAGTGGAACTGGACTGGAATATGGCCAGTCCGACTGCCTGGACGCCCGTTTATTAACGTGGGAAAAATGCAAAGGCAGCCGAACTTAAAATAATATAAATTATAAAACGCTGCTTTTGTTTCGAACCAGAACCGGAAATCAAAAAGAGCAACAATCAGCCGAAAAAAATGTATGCAAAAACGAAATAAAAAATTAAATGTGAAAAAATAAACAGAAGAGAATCGGCTTTTTTTTTAGGTGTGCCGCACACACGAAAAAAAATGGGTGATGAAAATGGGCAACAGCAGCAACAACAACAAGAACAACAACAACAACTAGTGGCGGAGAAAGATGTGGAGGAAGAAGCAGAGCGACAGCAACAAGTGGGATTCACAACAAACGAGAACGAGAGAAAATTTGTTTGCTTTGGCTCCGAGTGCCGTTGGTGCGGTTTTTTTCGAATACCCTAAAAAATGGGGCATATGCAACGTGTTGTTGTAATTATATTTAAGTATGATGCGAAATAAATCCCGTTTCTATTAAATCGGTTGTTCAATATTTCAATTAAGTTTTTTGTGAGTGTGCAACTGAGTGTTTAGTTAAGAATTCAAGACTTTTAGTGGCAACATAAACAAATTAAATAATTGTCTTAAATGTTTTTCAGTTGAAACACACTGATGAATGCATTGTCTATGTGTCAGAAGATTTTCTGAATGATTTAAGACTTAAACCTAAGCTAATTAAGCTTTCATAATTTATGCAAATGAGCTTGTGTTAAAGTTAACCGCCCTAAAAGTTCCCACATGTCAAGGCTGCTGGTAAATATCCATTTGGAAAATGTTTTTTGTATTAACGCTTTTAAACTGTGCTAGCTAAAATAAAGAAAACTTATGTGAACAATTATATACATTGGATTATATATATCTGAGATACATAGTCTTAGATCTTAAGACTTTAATAAAAAGATTTATTTAAAGTCCCGAGAAATAATTTGAAAACATAAGTTTTGTAAAGCAGCAAAACAAAGTAAAGTTTTTCTTCTTTGATTTTTAATTTGTCTTAATTTGTGGAAAAGGATAGGGTAAGCAATTTGAAAATTATGAAGAACTTTAGGCTTATGATTTTTGAATAAATATGTATTTGAGTTCCTAGTGCAACAAGCTGATACGCTTCAACATTATAACAATGAAGACTGTGTAGCTTCTGAAGATATGATTTTTAAAGAGAATGTTTCTAGGGGCGGAATATTGGGGAGTACGTCTTGATCACCATTCAGGGACCATCTCTAGCATCTTCTCTAGCATATGTCCCCCACGAGGCACAGGGTATTCGCTGGTCGTTCTGGCACCTTTCGCAGCATTTCTTTCTTGTTTTCGTCTTTCGCTTGACACACTCACCTATATTCTGCGCCTGCGCATGCGCCAAAGCCAGCGCCGACGTCAACGCCAGCGCCAGCAGAAGCAGCGGCTGCGTGCGGTGCATTGTTGCTCTCTCGCTCACACCTGCTGCTGCCAACACCAGCTGTCCGTCCGTTTGAGTTCTTTTTTTTTCAGTTATATTTTATTAGGTTTTTTTGTTTTGGGCTTGTGGCCTTAATGCTATTTCGCTGGATTTTGCAATTTGCTTTCGCACACTGTAAACTTCCTTGGGATTTTAGCACTTGGCGCGAGTTTCGGATAGTTTTAATTGCTGCCTCGACATGCCAGGAAGTGGGGGTTAGTCGATACTCGATAAACAAAACAATAAAAAAAAAATTCACACTGCACGAGCACCGAACTTAAAAAAAAAATAATTTTCGCGACGCGATAATCCGCTGCATGAACCGATCGCTGGGAATTCTGCAGGGCAACTGAAGTTATTTAAAGTCGGCGATCGCGCACGAAGAATTCTTCGCTGGTTTCTCGGTCTTTCACTTTTCTCTCTCTCGCTCTCTTCTTTTTTTGGCTCTCTGAGGAGACAGTCTATCGTTTTCTTTTTCTCTCTTTCAACCGGTAAGCGCCGAACTTAAACCGTTGCCTTGTGCAGCTCGAAAGCAACTGAAAGTTGGAGACGTCGCGCTGTGCGTCTTGTAAGCTACCTGGTTTACCTGTCGCAGTCGACGTCGCTGTCTCTGTCTCTGCCGGCGTCGAAGCAGCTGCATGCGTGAGCACTTGCTGCGCTTTTGGCAAGTGGTAAGTAGTAAGTGCCAAGTGCCAAGTGCCTTTGCCCCCTCTCCCTCCCCCTCACCACAATTCAGGGCCCGCTGATCAATGGCCAATCTTCAGTTCTTCGGCCATCATCTACAAAACGGTAATAACAACTAATACAGGTTATGCAACTGTAACGGAGCACTAAGAAAAAATCAAATAATATTGCTCTTAGTTTATCCATTTGCCACGTTTGGGGTCAAATTACGTTTAAACAAAATCTTGGGTTATAAAAAATCTCTTTCGTTAGAACTTATAAGACAAACAAACCGTGCTCTTATATAATATCAATTTTCATTACTAATTATACCAATTTCTTAGAACTAAAAATACTAGATAAGAAACAATAAGAAATTTATGACACGAAATGAGGATTGATTTTGAATAAAAAATTTGCAAAATTAGAAAAATGTATTTAATCTAGATATTAATATTTTTTGTCTTGGGATTTGAAAAATTTACAATACTAGAATCTAAAACTACATTTATATATTGGCGGAACATTTACATTTTAAATTTAGGTAAGTTGCACTTTTATTGTTATAAAAATTAGTTAATTTGCACTTTTATTGTTAGAAAAATTAGTTAAGTTGCACTTATATTGTTAGAAAAATGTTCGATAAAATTAAGAATATTTTGGGTGACATTTTGCCCCAGTGCACAATTCTTTCTGCCCCCATCTCTACGCGACTGTGTGCGAGTGAGTGGACCAATTTAGAAGAATTCCTCGATGGACCCGTCTTGGTAACCTGCTGGAGATGTGGACCTGGATCTGGACGTGAACATTCAAGGTAGAATAGACGTTGAAAATTGAACACTGGACAACCGACGTTGCACAATGCCGCATTTGCATGCCACACGAACCGGGCGGAAAGTAAGCCAAATGGTCAGGAAATTGGAGCAACGAACAGAATCCAGATTCATGGATGCACTGCAGCATCCCAGTTTTTCTCAATTTCTTTAGTATGTCCGGCCAACGCACATTTCTTGCTCTTTATGTGTGTGACACATGTGGGCCAAATGCAAAATGCAAAATGCAAAATGCAAAATAGCCCAGACTTAGGCCAACGATCATCGTGAGCTGGCCAAGATCGATCGAGGGGCATGTGACACCGAATTGGGTTGCGAGCAAAGTGCAGTCGAGCATTCCACACGATCTGGAAACTGGAGAAGACAGCGTGACCACTGGCAGGGTGCTCCGGGCAAAAAGCGATTGATGGAAGCTTGGAATGGAGTTTACGTGATGGGATAGATTGAAAGTAAATGGAAAAGATACAATTTTATACAATGGATACAGCTAAGCAGTGTAGAATATCAAAAGTAGATAGAATTGTAAAACAAATACAACGATATATGTATAAATAAATAGAAACATATATCTCACAAATATAATAGTAGTAAAATAAAGAAGATGATACAAATGAAGATATGACATAGATAAAAAATATTGTATTGTGTAACAATTTATTTGCTACATGTATTGTTGATATACAAAACCATTTGTTTTGCTTTGAAAATGAAAAAAAATAATTGGCTTATCTAATATTTAAATGGAAAAGAGGAGTGAAGAATACAAATTATTGGGAAGAAGTGTTAGATCATAAGTATATGTGAACTCCCTTTCCATTAGATATTTAATGTACCATAAATTGACTTCATTATTATCTTAGTTCTTGCTTTAACTTCGCCTCTTCACTATTTTTCCGCACTTTTCCGGCCCAGTTTGATTGCCTCATTTTCCACACGACGAAGAAGCTGGGATTTGAGTCGTATTGATTGCCCTAGGGGCTAGCTGAAATTTTTCGGTCATGTCAAAGCGTCGTGTTGAGTTCACGGATTGATCCATGTTCGATCTTGCCAAACATCTCTCTTTGCCCCCCCGGTTAGCTAACAGCAACAGCCAAGTTGGCTTGTGGCAACATTTAATTAGAAAATCGCTGGTGCAAGTGGCTGCCTGGTGGTGGCAGTGGTGCAGCTGGGATGGGATGTGGATGTGGACGTAGATGCTCGATGGGCTTGGTCTTGAAGCCTCGTCTTCGGCTCCTCTGCCGCCCATTGTTCCGCTTGCTTGACCAGGCAGCAGCAAGTACATCCAGTACATGCACTGGGAAAAACAAAATTAAACCTACATAATTTTTTTATCTTTGCTTAAACTTGTTGAACATAATTTCTTTAAGATGTTAAATAAATTATTTATTTATTTAAAGATTTTTAATTGAAGGCCATATAAATATATGGCTTATATTTATTCGCGGGCAAAAAAGTATACGAATTTCAAAATGGTGGTAAAAATCTCTTTTTTAGACACAAACACTATGCGTGTTTGCTATACTTTTAGATAGATAAACAAAGGTTGAGTATAGTATTTAATTATATTATATTATATTTACTTGTAATTGTATGTTTTCGTAAAAAAACATGTTGTAAATCGAACCATGCTTTTAGAAGTAATTAAGAAATTAAGTTCAACATAGTGTCTAATATTTTTTGTCTGCCGCGCCAATAGAATTGCAAGTAGCGACATCTATTAGGGGCATAATTGCTTAAAAATTAAATTGAATTTAAGTTTATTATATTATGTTTTTGATGTGCATAACTATTTTGTCAGTGGCATAACTGGCAACACAGCCACGTGCTGCTTGCTCCTCCGCCTCCTCCACGAACGACGCCCACCAGTGGCTAGTGACTAGTGACTAGTTGCCGGTTACTAGTGGCCAGTGGTCAGTGGCCAGTGATCAGTGTGGAGTGACCACAACAAGGAAATCAACTCAGCCAGGCACACGCAACAAGTTCGGGGAAAAGCTGGGAAAACGGAGTGCTGGGAGAATCTAGGACGCAGCCAAGCAGAGCGAATTGCTGCATCTGAGGTTGCCCATCCCATCCCATCCCATCCAATTCCGATTCCATGGCCACCCATCCTATACCATTCCTCCCCAGCGCAGCGCAGCCTCGCTTCATTTTCCATTTAGTGCTTTATTATTTTTAATTTCCAGCCCGACTTCCGAGATTAATGTTCTGAGTCGCTGCTGCCGTTGCCCATGGGGCATTCCCTTCCCTTCCCTTCCCGTTTTTGTTTTTGTTTTCCCCCTTTTTGCCATCGAGCAAATCAACCTTAGGCTTTGCCCCCAGCCAAATCATAGCCAACTGTGCTCCAGTTCGAAGTATTTCTTTTCCCGTTTTTCAGATCAAAAGTCCATAAAAAAACTAGTTCAGATCGTGGCCCAAAAACGAAAACTCTGATGAGCTTTTGATTGAGACAAAACGAAGATTAATCCCGGGTGTCTGCCGATATTAATGAATTGTAAGTTTAATTTCAGATAGTGAATAATAACCTGATGTGCTGATGGAGAAAATAGTTCAAATATTTCACACATGGGAATATAATCAAATTTGGAATGAGAAACACAATTCTTGAAATATAAGGCATTTTTATCTTAATTAAAAAAAATCATTTCAGGCACAGAAAATTGTATATGTTTATTTGTATGTTACTGGGGACTATTTTAGGTTGCTAATGTTCTTTTATCAGGTAATTTCCTATATTAATAACAATTTCATTCCGAATTTATTATGACAAACTTAAAGAACTTCAAAAACTTTTGAAAGGAATCGAGTATATCAGAAATATTTATCTCAATCGTATTTCAAGAGATTTGTTATGGATCAAACTTATGATAATCAGGAGAGATATCATCCTTATCCTCTTTATATGATTTATGTATATTGTTTATTAATTAAAGTGGACTACAGTAAGTGTTTTCGTAGTTTTTGCAGACATTAAGAGTTGCTAAACATCCGCTTTTCCACTTTCCTCCTTTGGTGGTTTTGGTTAGCTTGAGTTGCTCGGTTACCAAACGCTTTTCGGTGGCAATAAGGGGGCTCTTTAGGGGAGGCCTGGTTATGGGGTCTATGAGGCAAGTGCACATAGTTATGATTGCGCAATGGTCGCCCACAGAAAGTGACTGGAGGCGTGGCACCTGGCGATGGCCAGTGCAAGGGATAGGTTCTCCGCCCCTTCCTGAGATTGCAAAAAAACAAGAGGCAAATCCCCTCAGTGAAATGTGTATGTACTCTGTCTGACATGAAACGAAAGTAAAACTCATGTCTTTTGTCTGTACCACAGCCCCTCCCCCCCCTCACCCATGCAACTACCCATGCAACCACCCAGTCAACCACCCACCCAACCAACACCACCACCCCCGGGGCACCACTGACAAGTGGAGTGCTCTTTTGTTGCGTTTTTGATATTTGCAATCATTTCATTTTTGGACACTAATGACGATGATGAATGCAACCGCAGAAGTGGATGTCCAGAGCGGAGCCCAGAGAATTGAGAGCTTACATAAGGCACTAGCAAAAGCAGCAGCAGCAGCAGCAGTAGCACCACCATCAAAACCACCGGCGACTGTGTGACAGTGGCAACAATAAACATTGCAGAAACAGAAAGAAAATCACCGAAAGAAAAACAAAGCAATTGATGGAGACGTAGAGAGGGCAACTGCCTTACACTTGGAAAAATTAATAAAATAAATCAAAACTAACTTAGAAGAACAGAAAGTATCTCCAGCGATAGAACATTTATTGAATTCAGGTTAATATTTATCAAGATCTATTATAAATAAAATAAATAAACAAAATGTTTCAAGTTTCTATGTATATAGAAAAAAGAAAATTGTGTATATTTTTGTAATTAAAAATATAAGAATACATAAATAGCTAGTAATAGATGTAAGGTCTTCTTTTTATGAATTTAATAAAATACATCGCCTTGTATAGAAAGTGAAATGTGAGAACATTTCATATATAATATACATGTTAAAATAATAAAAATAAGGATTT